AGGGTCCCTGCCTGCAAACGGCAGAGTTAACACACTCGCGGAGGGAAAGGGGGCCACAGTGACGGGGACACAGAGTGGGGGCTACTCCCATGCTGTTGGCACATAAGAACTTGGGGATTTTTATTTGGGTTTACAGCTTAGGACCCCACAAGAAAGGGTGGGCTCTGTGGGGTGAGCTATTTCTGTTCGGTAAATGCAAATTCCAATTCCCACAGGAAACAGTTGAGTGGATTCCAGTAGCATCTTGAGGGTTGAAATGGATGCTTCTCTTTGAGCTGCTAATCCTTTGTCTTTAAAAGGAAGGGAGTGAGGAGGGGGACTGGCAGGGCTGGGCAAAATAGGTGAAGGGGGTAAAGAGGGACAAGTTTCCCCTTAAAAAAAAAAAAATGAGTCCCAGGGACGAAAAGTACAGCAGAGAGAATGTAGTCAATAATATTGTAATAACACTGCACGGTGACAGATGGCAAATGTGCTTGTCATGGTGAGCATTTCATAATGTACATAAATGTCAAATCTCTATGTTTTGCATCTGAAAGTAACAATATTATATGTCATCGGTACCGCAATTAAAAATTTAAATTTTAAACAGATTTTTAATGATAAAAAGAAAGGACAAATCCGGTGTTTGTGATTGCTACAGACTATCGCAGACCATCCTGTCCCTAATGTAATTAATGCCCCTGATTTGCACACCTAAAGAGGATCAGAATGGTGCAACTTAGTGATACATATTTTATGACAGATATTTAAATAAGTAATGTAATATGTCCAAAACCATCAAATAATACCTTCAGTGGGTGAAGTATATGGTATGTGAATTGTATCTGAATAAAGTCGCCAAAAAAAAAAAAGAGAGAGAGAGAGAGAAAAGAAAAGAAAATAGGTAAAGGGTATTAAAAATGATCCACTCTGGGTGGAGATATACACCACATATGCCACTGGGCGGTATTATCCCTATTTTATAGAAGAGGAAACAGAGGCTCAGAGAGGTGATGTGATCTGCTTAAGGTCACACCTTGAGACCAGTGGTTCTCAAAGCAACTGTGTTCCCCCAGGGACAGCCAGCAGTGCCTAGAGGTATGTCCTATTGTCACAACTGGGGAGGAGATGCTACTGGCATCTAGTGGGGAAGGGGCCCGGGTCCCCACAAACACAGAAGCATCCAGCCCCAATGTCAGTATTACTGGAATCAAGACAGATAAGGAGACAGCACAGAAAAGGGGAGGGACCCGGGAACACACACACACACACACACACACACACACACACGGGGACTGTCATTATCTGGGGCAAATAAAACCAGCAAGGAACTGGGGGCCGTGGGGGTTAGTGGGGAAGAGCTCAGTCCAGCAGCCCCACCCGAGGCAAGTTCCAAAGCCAACAGCCTAACATTTTGAAAATTTGAGTAAAAATAAATAAATAAAAAATAAAGATTTGAGTAAAAGTAAAAATGTGCTTCAAAAGAATATATTATCGGGGCACCTGGGTGGCTCAGTGGGTTAAAGCCTCTGCCTTCGGCTCGGGTCATGATCCCAGGGTCCTCGGATCGAGCCCCATATCGGGCTCTCTGCTCCGCGGGGAGCCTGCTTCCTCCTCTCTCTCTGCCTGCTTCTCTGCCTACTTGCGATCTCTGTCTGTCAAATAAATAAATAAAATCTTAAAAAAAAAAAAAAAGAATATATTATCCGTGCCCATCCCAAAGGCTGGCAACCTTTGCCCAGAGTGTGGTGAAGGAGTGAGTGACCCAAGCTCAGCCACCAGTGGGGGCAGGAGGGAAAGTAACCCAGGAGAGCAGGCTTCCGCCACCCCAGGAAAAAAAATTTAATTCATTTCTAATAAATAAGCCACTGGATTTTGAAAGGGTGTATCTATTCTGTTTCCAAAGGCTTGCAGAGCACCAGTTCTCAGTCACAAACTAAGCAGACCCAGATGCAGGCCCAGAAACCCTCTTTGCAAAGCCCCAATGGCCCCAAGTGCAGGGCTGAGCTCTTCAAGGCCCAGACACCCAGCATAGTTTCCAGGGCAAAGCAGTGCCCCAAAAAACATGTGCAATGGTTCCAATGGCTCAACTTGACTTCTTTGTAGGGCCAAGGTCGTCCAGCAGGCTCTGTCCCTCTCTGCCTTCACCTCATCCTTTCCACTTCCCTATTCTGTTCCAGCCACACTGGGCTTCTGTGCTGTCCCTCAAATCCACCAGGCACACTCCTGCCCCAGGGCCTTTGCACTTCCTCTGCCCTCACAACTCACTCCCTCTTCCATGGTCTTTGTTGGAAGGTCCATGTACAAAACTGCCACTCTTTCTCTTCTTCATTCTCTGCTTTGTTTTTGGCAATATCACTTACACCCTCCCCACTTGCTAAATAAGTCCCTCCTGAACTTGTTCAATGTTTACCGCTAGACAGACTCCAGGTATCTAGTAATGGACCCCAGTAAGTATGTATTGAAGGAAGGAATCGTCTTTAAGCCTCACAGTGACTCTCTGTGATAGTACTATCATCAACCCCATTTAAAGACAGGGAAACTGAGATGCACAGAGGTCGTGTGACTTGCCTGAGGTCACTTAGCTACAAGTTCCAGAGCCGGATTCCAGGCAAGACAGGTGTCCCTGAGGTCTTCCTTCTCTACCACATGGCTGTGCAGCCTCCCAGGGAAAGCCTTTCCTGCTCTGAATCCTGAATCCTGCTCTGTCCCTGGGTCCAGGGGACCCTGGGCAGGTTCCCTGACCTGGACCTGCTCACCCAGAATGCAGGCCATCTGGACCTGTTCAAAGATCCTTCAGGGATTCCTGCACTAAACATCACGTGCGATTGCTCCCCTCCTGCGTGGATAAATACTGAGCTCAAACTTTTAGAGATACCATGTGGAATATGGAAAGCTGGGGGTAGCCCTAGCCTGCCACCCAACTGTGGAGTTTCCCTTTGAGGAAGGTGGATGTGATGGGCTGAACTGGTTGAAACCAAGAAAGTTATTGAGACCCTCTCAGGACTTTGCGATGTGACCAACAGAGGGAGCTATCTGACTGAGAGAGGGAACCAGGTTGCGATAAGGCCAGGAGAGTGGGTCCTAATACCGTTAAGACTAGAGTCTTTATAAAAAGGAAATACCTGGACATAAAGCCGGGCACAGAGAGAAAATGATGTGAAGGCCCAGAGAGAAGATACGACCTACTACAAGCCAAGAATGCCTGAGGCTGCAGAAGCAAGGAGAAAGGCCTGGGACAGATTCTCCCTCACCTGCCTCAGAGGGAACCAGCCCTGCCAGCACCTTGACTTTGACCCTCCAGCCTCTGGAATGGCAAGAGTACATGTCTGTGGTTCAGCCAAGCAGTTCATGGTGCTTTCAGTAGCGGCCTTAGCAAACCACAGCTGTGCATAACCAAATAAAGGTGGGGTTCTCTGGAAAGTGTAGGAGAGAGATGGTCCCCAAAAGCAGTCACTACATACACACTAAAATCCTTTCAAGGCCAACTGCCAACTCAACGCTTGACCCTTGAGCTGAGGTCCTGTTTCTAGGTGAACTTCAATTCTAGTCTTCAATCCTAATGGGATGTGTCCTGTACTCTGTCTCAGAAATTCTCCTGGCACTCATTCCTTGATTCACGGCGTCTCCCCCAGTCCTCACGGCCTCCCCTCGAGACACACAGCAAAGTGTCTGATCACACGCACCTTGGGGATTGTGACAGATTTTATTTTTGCCCAAATACTGAGCATGCTTTGGTAACCAAAAAAACTTCATGAATGGGCGCCTGGGTGGCTCAGTGGTTTGAGCCTCTGCCTTCGGCTCAGGTTGTGATCTCAGGGTCCTGGGATCGAGCCCCAGGTCGGGCTCTCTGCTCAGCGGGGAGCCTGCTTCCTCCTCTCTCTCTCTCTCTGCCTACTTGTGATCTCCCTCTGTCAAATAAATAAATAAAATCTTTAAAAAAAAAAAAAAAAAAACCTTCACAAATAAGGATGGGTGCCTTATCGAGCAGATTGAAAGGATTCCATACCTGTCTTTCAGGAAAAGGCAGCTGAGGGGTGCCTGGGTGGCTCAGGTGTTAAGCATCTGTCTTCAGCTCAGGTACTGATCGAAGGACCTTGGATGGAGCCCCGTGTCTGGCTCCCTGCTCAGCAGGAAACCTGCATTTCCCTCTCCTACTCCCCCTGCTTATGTTCCCTTTCTTACTCTCGTTCGCTCTCAAATAAATAAATAAAATCTTAAAAAAAAAAAAAAAAAAGGAAAAAGCAATTGAAATCCTGATATGGATTAGCCCAAAGAAAAATAGACAGGTATAAACCAAGACGAAGAGGAAAGTCATTTGGGAGAAGAGGGATGGACCTAGAGGATGTTATGCTAAGTGAAACAAGTCAGATAGATAAAGACGATTTCACTTGTGTGCAGAATCTAAGACACAAAACGAACAAATAAGGCAAGACAGAAACTGACCCATAGCTATACGGAAACTACTCGTAACCATATGCAGGAGGCGGCTAGGAGGGGGGCAAAATGTGTGAAGGGATTGGTCCAGTTACAAAGTAAGTCTTGGGGGTGTATAGTATAGTACAGGGGACAGTCAATAATATTGTAGCAATTTCATACAGCAACAGATGGTAGCTACACTTCTGGTGGAGATCATTTCCTGACATGTACAAATCAAGTCACTGTAATGGACGCTGGAAACAACTGGGATATGGGAAGACAATTATACTTCCACTAGAAAAAAAAGGAGAACAAGAAGAGGGAAGTAATTTAGGGGCACCTGGCTGACTCAGTCGGTGGAAGGTGTGACTCTTGATCTCAGGGTTGTGAGTTCAAGCCCCACACTGGCTGTAGAGATCACTTAAATAAGAACACTTTTAAAAAAGAGAGAGTAACCATCTTTTTTTTTTTTTTTTAAGATTTTATTTATTTGACGGAGAGTGAGAGAAAACACAAGCAGGCAGAGCAGGAGGCAGAAGGAGAGGGAGAAGCAGGCTCCCCACTGAGCAGGGATGCCGACGTGGGGCTCAATGTCAGGACCCCGGGATCATGACCTGAGCCGAAGGCAGATGCCTTAGATGACTAAGACATCCATCTTGATCTTTCTCTCCTCTTTCCTTTTATCCATTGATAATAAACCTTGTGACAAATTTCCTTCTTCAATTTGACTGTCCTTGTTTTACCCCTGGAATTCCTTAGGAATCGAGGTTTGGGTCCAGAAGACTGGCAGCATTTTGCCAAAGCAGAGAACCTGAGAGTTAAAAAGCACCTTAGAACAACATTAATTAGACAACAGACATTAATTAGAACAGTAGAATTAAATAGTTGATAAATGAACCATCCACAGGTGACAGGGCACAAAGTCAAAAGGGGCCACTGACTCCTAGAAAACATTCCCACTTGTATTTTAAAACAGAGAAAGCCAAGAAGAATGGAACTAAATTGTTTTGAAAGGCAGTGTTTCAAATATGGAAGAATTGAGCTGTGTGTTTGTAAACACAGCTATTTAAAAGAATGTGATGTGTGACTTATCTCCCAATTAAAATACTATGCAAATTTGTAAGGCAGGGTTTTGTCAGCTACAACTAGTAAACACAACAGCTCGAGTGAAATCATTTCTAGTGCAATTAGCTGTTTATGAAGATGCTGTTTTATTTTTTTGCAATTGTTTGGAACCAAAAAGAAGTTAACGGCACAATCTCAATTGTTTTTTTCTTTGCAGAAGCACTCCTCTCTGGAGCTCTCATTGGAGAGGAGGGATAGTTATTCCACCTGAACACTACAGAAGGTATTAATAAGGATTTCACACTTCCTGAGTGTTTACACTTTGCCAGGTATTGTGATAGGCGAGTTGTATACAATAGCCCATTCAATCTCCCCCAAGAAATCTAGGAGGGCATGCATTTATTAAGACTAAGCTCAGTTTACAAGTGAAAGAAGCCTAAAAGGACAGTGACCTAGATAAGATACATTTACTTCTGTGACATAAAAATCTGAGATGAAACGGTCCAGGGCTGGTGTGGCAGCTCCATGGGGTCAGGGAAATGACTTTCTTCTGTCTTGGGGGTCTTCTATGCATGCCTTCCATTCTCCATTCCTAAAAGGACCTCATGTTCCAGAGGGCTGCCCCAGCTCCACTTATTACGCCTATAATCCAACTCAGGGAAAGGAGGAAAGAAGAGAAAGCCAACACCCCCCTACCCCCCCCCACATAAGTTTTCATTCCATTTTTACCGATGCCCCATTGGCCAGAACTTGGTCACATGGTTACACAGCTCTATGACTATAGCTGCAAAGCAGGCTGGGAAGTGTAGTCATTATTTGGTACAGCCATATGCCCCCAGCTAAAAGTCGAAGGAGAAACGATCTTGGGACATAACGAACAGTTTTTGCCATAGGTAAGATACTGTTGTTCATTCTCTTGTACAGATGAGAAAACTTAGAAGTTAGTAACCTGACCAAAGTCATAGTCAATTCTCTTGATTGTGACACTCTCTTGATTGAGTCTTGTTTTGTGATTCTTTTTCTTATGCACCTGGTTATTGATAAGATATTGGTAATCAACTCCTATATGTTGCTTGGAAGAGAGAAATTATACAAGAACAATGCATTTAGAATTCTACTCTTTTACACTCACATCACTGCTTCTTTTATCAAATAGAAATTTTAAAGCGCAGTATTTCTGTGGCAGAGAAGAGTGTGCAGACTAGCAAAAAATAGGGTTTCCTCCTTCTCCAGGGGCTGTGGGTGAATGAGCCAGCCCCATTCATATCCCAGGTTGCTGCTTGCAGACCTGGATCCCACCATCCAGGGCTCACTGTGACCATGGCTGCAGCACCGGACACCCAATTTTTTTGTAATCTGTAAAACTACAGAACTCCCAGAACATAACATAAGGGAACCCAGATAGAAGACTGGGTATGGTGATGACTTTTATTTAATTTTTAAATATTTTACTTATTTGAGAGAGAGAGAGAGAGAGAGAGAAGGCACAAGCTGGGGGAGCAGCAGGCAGAGGAAGAAGCAGACTTCCCAGTGAGCGGAGAGCCTAATGCGGGACTTGGCCAAAGGCAGACGCTTAACCAACTGAGCCACCCAGGCATCATTTTATTTTATTTATTATTTTATTATATATTTTACTTTATTTATTTATAGTAATGATTTTCGGATACAACACCAAAGGCACAATCCATGGAAGAAATAATTGATAAATTGGTCTTCATTAAAATTAAAAACACGTGGCCTCCAGGGACCCCCAGGGTGAGCATCCAACTCTTGAGCATCCAACTCTTGATTTCAGCTCAGGTCATGATCTCAAGGTTGTGGGATCGAGCCCCACATTGGGCTCCACACTCAATGCAGAGTCTTCCTTGTCTCTCTCCCTCTGCTCCTCCCTCTGCTCTCTCTCCAATAAACAAACAAAACAAACAAAAACTTCTGCTCTATAAAAGACAAACAACATCAAGAAAATTAGAAGACAAGCCACAGACCAAGAGAAAAATACTTGCAAAGGACACATCTGACGGGCACCTGGGTGGCTCAGTGGGTTGAGGCCTCTGCCTTCGGCTCAGGTCATGATCTCAGGGTCCTGGGATCGAGCCCCGCATCGGGCTCTCTGCTCAGCAGGGAGCCTACTTCCTCCTCTCTCTCTCTCTCTGCCTGCCTCTCTGCTTACTTATGATCTCTGTCACAAAAATAAATAAAAAATTTAAAAATCTTAAAAAAAAAAAAAAAGTACACACCTGATAAAGGACTGCTATCCAAAATACACCAAGAGCTCTTAAAATTCACCTGGCTGGTTCAGTTGGCAGAGCCTGTGACTCTGAACTCAGGGCTGTGAGTTCCAGTCCTATGTTGGGTGTAGAGATTACTTAAAAATGAAATCTTAAAAAAAAAAAAAAATAACAAGGAAACAAATAACCTGATTTTAAAAAGGGGGCGGAAGAGCTTAACAGACACCTCCCCAAAGAAGATATACAGATGGCAAATGAGCATGTGAAAAGATCCTCATCATGTATCATCAGGAAATGCAAATTGTAACGATAGGGAGATGTTGTCACATACCTGTTTGAATGGCCAAAATCCGAACCCTGAAAACATCAAATACGGGTGAGGATGCAGAGCAACACGTACCCTTATTCATTCGTGGGAACAAGAAATGGAACAGCCACTTTGGAGGAGAATCTAGTGGTTTCTTACAACACCCAAAAGACGCCCATTGTTATGATCCAGCAACTACACGCCCCCTCCGCTGTATTTACCCAAAGGAGTTGAACGCTTATGTCCACACAAAATCCTGTACGTGGATGTTTACAACATTTTTGTTCATAAACTGTGGTACATCCAGGCAATGGAACACTATTCATCACGAAGAAGAAATAAGCTTTCCAGCCGCGAAAAGACATGGAGGAAAGTTCAATGCACAATTACTAAGTGAAAGAAGCCAGTCTGAAAAGGCTATACACTCTATGTCTCCAACTATACGACATTCTAGAAAAGACAAAGTATGGAGACAGTGGGGCACCTGGGTGGCTCAGTCGGTTAAGCGTCTGCCTTCAGGTCATGATTCCAGGGACCTGGGATCAAGCCCCGCATCGGGATCCCTGCTCAGCGGGGACTCTGCTTCTCCCTCTCCCCGTCTGCTGCTCCCCCTGCTTGTGCGCTCGCTCGCTCTCTCTCTCTCTCTCTCACAGTCAAATAAATTTTAAAAATCCTTTAAAAAAAAAAAAAAAAGTATGGGACAGTAAAAAGATGAGTGTGGTTGCCAGAGGTTGATGAGCAGATGAAGCACATGGAATTTTTAGGGCAGTGAAACCAGTCTCTATGATGCCATAATGACGGATACACGTCATTGTATGTGTCCTAACCCACGGAATGCACACCACCAAGATGAACTCATCGGAAACAACAAACGATGATGCAGTCCATGTGGGTTCATCGACTGTAACATATGTCCCACTCTGGTGGGGGTGTTGACAGTGGGAGGGGCTGTGCATGGGGGGTGAGGTAGGGGGTGTGCGAGAAATCTCTGTACCTCCTCTCAATTTTGCTGTAAACCTAAAACCACCCTAAAAAAAAAAAATTTTTTTTCAGGGCAGGCGCCTGGCTGGCTCAGTCGGAAGAGCATGTGACTCTTGTTCTTGGGGTCATGAGTTCAAGCCCTACATTGCAGGGGTAGAGATAACTAAAAAACCCCCCCCAAAAAATTTGTTAACTAAAAATGAAATCTTAAAATACAGTCAAGGCTAGGGTCTTGGGACACCTGGGCCCAGTGTCCGGGGTGAGGGGCTGTAAGGGACAGCCGCCCTGTGGGCCAGGAGCCTCTAGGTGGCAGTGCCCAGCCAGAAACAGAGCCAGCTGAAGCCCCAGGGAGCCCCAGAAGGGGAAGAGAAAAGTCAGGGCGGTCAGGGCCGCTGCCCCCACAGCGCTCCCCACCTGGCTCACACACCAGATGCACGTCAACGGAGCACAGAATACATCAACAAACGAATGAATGGTCCTTTGAAAGTCTGTAATCCTCAGTAATGACAGTAGCTGACATTTATTGAAAACTTGCTGCCCGGCACCATTCTGGTCAAATTAAGATCTTGCCGTGTGTGTTCGTCATGTGAACAGCATTCTCCCGTTTCTTAAGATATCCGTCAACAGTGTGCTTTACCAAGGCTTAACCACCTAGTGAACCCGGCATGTTTGATCAGTCTCCTAGCATCGGGTTTATGCTGTCTTGTTACTCCAAGTACTATACTTCGTATTGTTGCTGAAGGACTGCCTTCCACAACTCTGATTATCGCCCCACTGGGATTAAAGCTCAGAAACTGGAATTAGAGGGTAGGAAACGATGACTGTTTTTAGAGATCTTCCTATATGTGGCCAACTGAATTTTCAACGTGTGGCAGGCAGGCTGTCCTGTTAGGAGTAGCGTGTGCTGGGGGTACATCATCTCAGACTTCCTGGTGCTAGGTAGTAGCAACGGAGCTTCTCAGAAACTTATTCCAACCCCAGTCTTGGGGCGCCTGGGTGGCTTGGTCGGTTAAGCATCTGCCTTCAGCTCAGGTCATGATCCCAGGTTCCTGGGATGGAGTCCTGCATCAGGCTCCCTGCTCAGAGGGGAGGCTGCTTCTCCCTCTACCTCCCACTCTGCCTACTTGTGCTCTCTCTGCCAAATAGATGGATAATATCTTTAAAAAACAAAACAAAACAAAAACCACAGAATCTCCTTTTCAAATCTGAATTTCACAAAGTAAGGCTGAACTTGGGATTCAGATGTTGATTGCTCATTTGTATTTCTGCTTCTGGAAACTCCCTGTTAGTATTTTTTGCTCATTTTTCCTTTTTTGCATATTACTTTCTTATTCAGGTATGTGCGTGTGCACACGTGTATGTCAACAGAGATATACCCTACATTAGATTTGTCATACCTGTCATGGTCCCTTTTTCAAGTTTGTTTATATCGGTCGTTACAAATTTACACTTATAATCAAGCTTTTATTTTTAACTGTTTTCTTTAAAGATTTTATTTATTTGAGAGAGAGCGTGAGCAGGGAGGGGGTGGGCGGAGGGACAAACAGACTTCCAGCTGGGCAGGAAGCCTGATGTGGGGCTGGGTCCCAGGACCCTGATATCATGACCTGAGCTGAAGTCAGATGCTTAACCAAACTACCCAGGCACCCTCAAGCTTTTCATTTAAAAATATTGTCTCACACACACACACACACAAATGTCCCAATACCTTTACACTTACAAAGCTGAATATTCACATATATGTTCCCTCAGCTTTTAATTGCTTAAATATTCATTTGACAGAGAGACAGGGAAAGAGAGAACACACGCAGGGGAAGTGGGAGTGGGAGAAGCAGGCTCCCTGCAGACCATGTATTAACATATAACTCCTTATAATCTGTCAATATATGTGGGAGCATGAAACGATATTCTAACAAAAATTTTCCCCCCAAACAGTCAATGTTCTTGATGTCATCTATTGACCGATCCATCCCCTCCCTGTCATTTTGTGCTATTTCCTGCTGGACTATGAAGTTCTTCTATAAACCAGGGTATTTTCTGGAGCGTTCTATCCTGTCTTACTACTGGTGCTAATATCTTCTACTTATTACTATTTTTTTTGTTTTAATTTTTTATTTCAAAATTTCTTTAGCTATTCTCAACTGTAAATTCTTTTGGCTGAACTTAAATACTTCTGACCCATTTCCAAAAATCCCTTGGGGCTTTTATTAGAGCTATAAACCACAACTCTAAGTTAATTTGAAAAGAATCAACCCTCCAGGGTGGAGAGGGGGGAAATGGGTACTTGTAGACAGAGCCGGAGGTAGTAAAAACTGACCTTCTGGGAAGATAACCATATAGTCTCTATCATAAACTTTCACTTTTTTTTAACTTTTTATTTATTTAAATAATCTCTACACCCCCCATGGGATTCATACTCACAACCCAAGACCAAGAGTCTCTCATTCCTCCGACGGAGACACCCGGCACCCCGTGAGTATAAACTTTTAGACGTATCAGTGCTTTCGACCCAGA